CCAGGCCGGACCAGGTGCCCATGAGGAAGCGACAGCTCCCTGCCTCCTTCTGGGAAGAGCCACGGCCAGCCCAGAGCCTGCCAACCAGGGCCTTCCCCACCGGCCCCGAGGGGCTCCCGGCCCCCAGAGACCCTCCTCCCTACGAGGGGAAGAAAAGCAAACGGAGCTCAGACACTGCCGGCCCGGAGAGCCCCCCTGAGTCTGCCCCCCACACTGGGGACAAGGACTCCACTGGGGTCCTCTCGGGCCAGGTGGGTTCCTGGACCTGCTGCCCCTTCCCCTGCCCCGGGCCGGGCGTGTACCAGCCCCCGGGCGCGCTGCCCCCGTCGCCCTTCCCGGGGCTGGGGCTGTGGAGGAAGAGCACGGCTGCGCTGCCGGCGGAGGTGCCACACTTCTGCAAGGAGGCTGACAGCACAGGGCAGAAACTCTACAGGCCCGTGGTTTTGAAACCCATCCCCACCAAACCTGCCGTCCCCCCACCAATTTTCAATGTTTTTGGCTATCTTTAGCCGGGGTGGGTATCAGAGTCGCGCTGAACATGACAGCTCCTGAGAGTGAGTTGAGACGCCTGGTCGGGCACCAGGCCTGAGCTGCCAGCAGGAGCTGCCGGCAGCGCGGAGCGGCAGGGGGAAGGAGGCCGGCGATTGCACCCTCTTCCTCGTGGGCAGGCTGGAGCTAATTTGTGACTGTTGGGAAGCTGCTCGGGCTCTGCTCTCCTCTTGGTACATGGGTGTAAATCGGGAACAAGCCTTATGAAGCCAGTGGCAAGGAGCATGAGGCAAACCAGGCTCTTTCATCAACGGGCATTGTCTAAGCCGCGGCGAGCAGGGCTGCAGGCCATTCATAGCCGCACTTGTAACACCTAAGAGACCTCCTCCATGTGGGAACATCTTTCTGGGGTTGCCCTGCAGCAGCAGCAGTAAAATGAAATGAATTAAACCCATTCAAAGAGTTTTTTGTACTTTAAAGTAATTCCAGAGAAGTCAAGATATTCAGGTCACTTCCTTTTGCGTGCAAGAGACTGGAAGGACAGTATTTAATGTAGAAACCACACTCGTGAATTGATTTAAGCTCTTCTTGTATGTAAATACTGAGAGAATTAAAAGAAAAAAATAAGGGAAGAAAGGAGGTAATTTTATTTTGGTGATTCTGCAAATGCAGTCTGTTTATTTTTGCCCCTCTGGGTAGACACGGCTTTGATTTACAACTGGTGGGTAGATATGAGGGCTGAAATCTCTGCCCATTCAGAATGATGTAAATCAAAAATAATTCCTCTGGGGCTGGGAAATTAGCCAGTGTTACATTGGTGCAAAGAGAAGCAGGATGAATTTCCACATCAGGAATTGTTCTGCATCAACAGAACAAATGAGAAATTGTACCATTAGTTGAATATAAAACCATAAAATAGATAGAAGAAAAAAAGTGTATAGAATAGCCTGCCTTGATTTCTGGCTCACAGACTTTTTTTTTTTCCTGATTTTAAGATGCTATCACAAGACCTGGCTGTGAATGATTTGCCCGGTATTTTCCCAATTCTTTTAACAAATTGGCATTAGAAAAGTGAATAGGGGATTTTTTAAAGTCTGATTTCTCCTAAACCCATCGAGAAAGTGGTGCTAAGGGACAGAACATGAGCTCTGACTGGTCTAATACTGCAGGCCTATGTAGCTATTCAGTTATTCCTGAGTAAACCACTGAGCTGAAGTGTATTGTGGGGGGGGGAAGGACCAGAGAATGGACATCTGCTCTTGCTGAAGCTAATGGGAACTTCTGCCCAGGATTCAATAAAAAATGCCTTGGCTGGCTTGGTCTCTGGCTAGTGTAGTTCCCTGTGACTCTTGGTATCTTCCTGAGGGGAAAAACAAGCAACAATTTTTTTGAGCGCATTGCAGTCATGAAAAGATTATCACCTTAAGCAAATGTAGAGTATCATTTTGGATCTTCTGATGGGGCTTGATGTTATATAACCAGGTTGCAACTTTCATTAGGATATGAACTAATCTCAGACTAAAAAGAGCGCGTTCTTTCCCCAAACCTCACAGTATAGCCCACCAATGTTTACTTTTATGGAAACAATGGCTGTAATGTGTTATTCCAGCAGGACAAAAGTAGAAGCGGAGATGGCTTTCATTGCTTTGTCCCTACTACCAGCACTTAATATATGTATCAAGCCTGTATAGACTACTCCTATAGGAGAGCGAGCAGGAAATGGCTCCAGTAGCACATGCCTGCAACTACATGCAAGGTGAAAGGGTTAAAGACATCAGATTAGCTCTTGATCCAGAAGCGAAGATATGAATATACTTAGATATCTTTACCTTTTTTTCTTTTTGGAAGAAAAATTCATGAGGAGGCTCTAAAAGAAACCAGAAGCAGCACTCCCCATTTAAATTAATGGAGGAGAACTATTCTTTTAATTTGCAGAACTGTAGGCAAGGAATTTTTTACATGGAAATAGGGATGCTTTCTCCCACCAATAGTTCTGTCACTGTTGTAATCCAGATTAATCCAGATGCTGAGCTCTGTCTCAGTGCTGTCAATGCAGAGCAGCCTCCTTGGCATTGGTCTGGATTTCCATCTGCAGCGATTGCTGTGGACAAGTGTTCCTGCTTGAGTTCACAAGGAAAATTTGAAAGTGCTGCATATCACACCAGGATATGAATTTCTGTCAAAACTAAAATACTTGCCAAAGTGGATAACCTCTGTAGAATTCTGTTTCTGAAGAAACACAGAAAAAAGAGAGTACTAAAATCAAGTTTCTACCTTTTGGATATTAAATTCTTTGTTTTCTTTTTTTCTTCTTTTAAACTGTTTCTTGTTAGAATGTATGTTGCTCTACATTTAGAATAGCATGTTTTACAGTTACAATGAAGGATTGAACCAGACTGCTCCAAATGACCTCTGACACAAAGATACTTATGGACTTATCCTCAGATTTAAACTGATGTTACTTTTTAAAATCCCTAAAATCCTTTGTGACATGGAACATGTGTCCCCTCCCCTCCCAAGGCAGGCGGTGGCCCTTGCTGGGGCTCTGAATTGGAGCAGCAATGAAGTTAAACACAGATGAATAGAAGGCAATTGTTAAGTATATTCAAAATCACCAAATGGGGATATGTGAGGCTTTCCAAAATGTTTACAAAGAATAGCAACTCTGTCTCCCTTCTAGCAATACTTACTGTTCTCTCACCCCTGAGATTAACATCAAAATTATTAATTGTTCAAGTTTGAATGGATTCAGACTTTTCCTGGCTATTTTTGTGTTGGATTGTTCAACATTGCTATTCAGGACAGCTGATAGCCCTTCAGAATCTACTCGTTTATTCATACTTTGCTTGAAAGATGGAAACATAACATTTGAGAGCTGCTATTTACTATAACAATGCAAATTTAAACTGTTAAAACCAAAATAGCGTTTATAAATAATGGGAAGGGAGAGGTAAATGAAAAAGCTTTCATACAAAATGAAATAGAAAATCAAAAAAGTGCACAAGAACGTCAAGTGAATTGCACATGTTGCAGTAAAAAAAAAGTACAGTAACCTCATCATGAAATACTCCTAGAACATTTCACATGACGTCATCATCTCTGAAGGAGTCTATCTATCACACTCAGTAAAAACAAGTCACTTCACCTTGCACTAGAACTACAGATCTGCTTACAAAGCCTGGTTTGTTTGGGTTTTGGGGTATTTGTCTTTTCACAGTAACTTCTAGATAGATGCATTAAATACACATTGAATTTGTGCAGATTCAGTATTGTGCACAAAATATTGTGTCAATGACTGGAGTGGAGGTAGCGGGCTCCATTTCAGTGCAAATAAATGTAAACCGAGTGTGTGAAGATTTGCTGTAAGGATCAAGCAGAAAGGACTTAATAACATTGTAATTACCAGATTCCCGCTCTAACAGACTCTTCTCTCCTCGGTTTCTGTGCAGTGTGCCCTTATCCTTCCCTCAGTTGTGGTACGTTCCCATCAGACCAGTACTCTCCAGCTCAGCGACTCTACTGCTTAGGACAGACGGTTGGCAGCAACCAGGACATGGGTCTCCAGATATATATTCCATATTTGCTCCGCTCAAACCCCGTTTCAGATTTCTCCAAGGACATAAAAGAAATTACAACACGTGAGATTTGTGCATACATAACAATGGTGGTGAGGGGAAGTTGCCAGTTTGGGACAGCTTATGAAATCTCACTGCTGTGGTTATACATGCAGTTCGTGATTGTGAATCCTTCGATCAGCCAGTGGTCTCCAGAGCTGTCATTGCACACCAAACAAGCATTTAAGTAAATGGTCTCCACCAGGCCATGTCTGTATCTATGGCCCTCTGTGACTCTGTTACACTCATTTAATTTCAAGGAAATTTCTTCTCATTTATATCAATGTGAGTAAGACCCAGACCTTCACTGCTCAGCCCCATGAAGTGAGAGATGCACGAACTCCACAGATGATTTTCTATCCCTCAAGATATTGCTTATCAATACAGGGCCTTCATTGGCAAAACTGATCTAAAGATTTCCTGTTCCCCATCCCTTTCCCTCCACACGGTATTTTTCCAACTTGAAGCAATTCCCTGTTCACACTGCAGGAGACAAGGCGGTAGATCCTAAACTGGTAGTAATGGAAGTCACTGGACAGAATTTCAGCAGTGGAGGAATCTCACTTGACTTTCCAAAGCTTTGCAAGAAGATCACTGTTCAGTGTGAATTGAAACTCTGTTGGTTTTTCAACTTCTTTTGCATTTGGGAAGGGGACAGCTATGAACAGAGCACCCATAGCTGTAACCAGTTCTTCTTCTGCTCACACCCTGTCCCACAAGTGCTGAACACATTTCGCACAAAACCAGCACAGAACCTGAACTTCTGTGCCCAGACAGATTTGTATGTGTGCAACACACTTTTAGTCCTGTGTTAAGGCATAAAACTTCACACAAATAAAACTCAGTGTAATGCATTTTCCCTACTTACATTTATATCTAATTCCATGGGTGGTATGCAGGCCAACAAAAAAACCCAGATCTGTCAGGTCTCTGGTGGGCAATCCAAACAAACCATGATGCACAGCTCCTTTGTCATCTAAGGTAAGAATGAGTGTGCTTCTAGCATAAGATCTGCAAGGACATAGTTCCAAATTTAGGCTTTTCCATCCTTACTTAGATGCCTAGTCATCAATCAGACACTCATCAAATCGGTGGTTCAGCAAGTGACACCTGTCAACTGAACTGCAGTCACTGCCAATAACTGTTCATGGACTCCTCGGCCTCCCCAGCTGTGAGGGAATGTGACTTGCTAAAAACTTCAA